CAAAATGGCGGATCCAATATGACGGACATATTTTTCTGAATTCGACGGAATTGCTTGAAACACCTTACTCGGGGGTTTTTGGGGTCGCTGATTACGAACCTGATGTAAGTTTTTCAAAATTCAAAAAGGCGGATCCAATATGGCGAACATATTTTTCTAAATTCGGTTTCTCTGTCCAATCAAAACAAATAACTTTTAATGAATTTTAAAAATGTATTAGTTTTAAATTTTACAAAAGTGTAGTATATAATAATGAAACTATTTTATGGAAAAATGGATTTATGTAAAATACAGAAAAAAATATACATTGGATCAGCCATTTTGAATTTTGAAAAACTAACATCATATTCGAATTTAGCGACCCCGAAAACCTTTGAGTAAGAAGTTTTAAGTAAATTCTAATGATTTTTAATTTTCCTTTCCGACATATTGAATCCGCCATTTTTAATTTTAAAAAACTAACATTAGATTCAAATTCAGCGGTTCCAAAAACTCCCAAGTAACAAGTTTCAAGCAAATACGATCAATTTTTAATTTTTTTGTCTGACATATTGAATCCGCCATTTCGAATTTTGAAAAACTTTTATCAGATTTGAATTCAGCGACCTTCAATACTCTCGAGTAACAAGTTTCATCTGAAACTGAGTTCATATTCCTAATCAGTAACCCAAAAAACAACCCCAGTGACGAGTTGCAAGTGAATTTCAAAATAGTATAATGTTATTTATCAATAAAAAAATAATAGTAATAAATAATAAAATTTTTTTAAATAAGCATATTGAATTGTTATATTTATTATTTTATTAGGTACTATTTATTAAAAGTGGTATTTAATTTTTTTAAATTATTAATTTATAAATAAAATAATAATTATTAATATGAATAAAATAGATAATATCAATATATTATATATATTGAAAAATATATTGCTTTATAAAATTTATAAACTTTATAAAATTCTGTAGTTACTACACTGAGAAAAAAATACTGTTGAATCAAATAGTTCAATGCTATTGAATTTCCCGTTATTGATTCAATAACAATTTTATTGATTGAAAAGTATATTACATAAAATGAAAAAACGAAACTATTTAAATCAAAAGTATGGTAATGTAAAATTAATGCCATTGTGTAAATTGATGCTATAGTTAATCTATTTATATCAACAGAATAATTTATTAATTCTTTGACAATTTTTATTTGAAGCATCTAAAAGGTAAATTTGAAGAAAATGTGTATAAGTTTGAATCATACGAAAAATTGTTTACTTCAAAGAAGCGAGCTCTTGCAAACGAAAGCATATGCTTTCGTTTCAATGAATGGTGTTATTGCGGGCTGCCTATAGCAGATGCTATAAAAATCGTGACACTATGCATTTGAGACATTGATACCCAACTTATTAAAACATTCTTAACTATTGTCATCAAAATAATGACATGACTTATTATTTCAATTATCTAAACTTTTAATTTATTAATCGTGTACTTTTGTTGTAATAAATGGCGTCATTGCGGGCAATCTGTATAATAGATTTTTAAATGTAACTATAAAAAGATTTTTTTCCCTTTTTATAAAATTTTATTTATATATAATATAAAGTTTATAAATAAAAATTTATATATTCATAAAAATTTTATTTTTTGATTAAGTTAAAAATTTTAAAAACCCATATGATATGTTTATAATTATAAAAAAATTTATTTTACTATTTTATAATTTTTCGTATTTTTTCGAAACATAAAATTTAAAAATATTTAATTATCAATTAAATTATATTAATATTAATAATAATATTCTTTTATCTACTTAATATGAAAAAATCTTGAGGACGAAATTTGACTGTAAAGTAATCGTTGAACGCTATGAAGCTACTGTTTCACGTTGGACTTCGGTGGTTCTAGTCAATCACGAAAGTTAAGCAACGTTGATCGCGGTTAGTACTTTGATGGGTGACCACTACGGAATACCAAGTTTTTTCAGGCTTCAAAAAAAATATATATATGTGTGGGAGTGTGTGTGTGTATGGAAGGGTAAATTCTTTCGATTTAAATATATATAGATGTGTTGTATATGTGAGAGTGCGAAATAAAAAAAAATATATATATAGAAGTGTGAACATGAGGACTAATTATAATATATAAAAAATTTGTAAGCTTAGATTAGTTTTTTTGATTTATCGTTGTTTTCATTTAACCTCATAAGAGGATTGAGTTTATAGTATATGCTATAGATTCTATAGCATATGCTTTAAATTTAAAAACTTTTTCCATTGACTCAAAAGCATATACACTACCGTCCGAAATTGTGCGAACTCTGCTTTTTTAACAACTATAAAACTGTTCAAATCTTCAAAAATATTAAAACTAAAATTTTTTCCTCTTTATTTTATTAAAGCTAATAAAATTCTGAAAGAAATGACACCTTGACAAAGAGAATATGTTAATTTTTCAATTAGATATCTAAGAAAAACCCAATTTTCAATGTTTTTACTATTTTTTTTATTTCTCTGGCAAAAATTAATATTTTTAAACGTTCTTAGGCTCATTGAAATCGTATTTTGTTATGCAATTCAAATTATATAAAACAATTCATGTACACATTCTTCCCTAGCGTATGCAAACCGTGAAAGTTGGCTCATAAAATGTCAAAAAATTTAAATTTAATTCTACAATAAAATATAATGTTTAAAAATCAAGTAAATATATCATTCTAAACTTCTCTGATTTATGTAAGTAAATTTAAGATTTATACATTTTACTGATCATTTTTTGTCATATAAATATTAATCACAATTTTTTGACATTTTATGAGCCAACTTTCACGGTTTGCCTACGCTAGGGAAGAATGTGTACATGAATTGTTTTATATAATTTGAATTGCATAACAAAATACGATTTCAATGAGCCTAAGAACGTTTGAAAATATTAATTTTTGCCAGAGAAATTAAAAAAATAGTAAAAACGTTGAAAATTGGGTTTTTCTTAGATATCTAATTGAAAAATTAACATATTCTCTTTGTCAAGGTGTCATTTCTTTCAGACTTTTATTAGCTTTAATAAAATAAAGAGGAAAAAATTTTAGTTTTAATATTTTTGAAGATTTGAACAGTTTTATAGTTGTTGAAAAAGCAGAGTTCGCACAATTTCGGACGGTAGTGTACTATGGATTTTAAAGCATATGCTTTTAAATTCGAAAGCATATACTTTTGAATTTAAAAACTTATTTCTTTGATTCAAAAGAATATTCTGTTGACTCAATAAACATACCTTTACATTAACATAGTTTTCTGTCAATTTAAGAAATATGCTTATGTTTCAATGACAGTGACACTATCGAATCATTAAAATCGGTGCTTTCAAAACAATGACATATACGTTAGGCAGCCCGGTATGACACTATTCATAGAATCAAATCCATATGTCATTGATTCAACAGCATTTTTTTCTCAGTGTAGGTCCTTTAAATCACGGAGTTAATTTTTTTAGCCTTCGTTTCGCGAACCACCTAGTAACTACACTGCTTCAACAGCACTCTGTAGTTACCACCCACACAGCACATTAAATTTCCTAAACATTTCATGAATATTTCATTTCAAAATTTGAAATGTTTCAATGCCAGGCTCATGAAATGTTGATGTAAAAAGGAAAATGTCCGTCTATAAGAAATATATATATATATATATATATATATATATATATTTAGGAAATATTTCAAATAAAGTTAGAAACTTTTTAAAATATGAAATCAATCGTTATTTTCTAACATGTTCCAACACCTTAGGATCCTAGAAAATTAAAAACTACTGCGCAGCTGTACAGGCTATAGAAACTAAGATCGACCAGTGCGCATCATTTAAGTTGGAATTTTTCTATAATATTTTAATGAAATATTTTAGCAAAATTACACAGCAATATTTCTTATAGGTGGACATTTCCCTAATTTCACCAATATTTTAAGGACTTCGCATTGGAATATATATATTTCGCGCGAAGAAGGCTCGAAAAATGAGCTGCGTGTTTTCAGAAATGTAGTTACTGTGTAGTTGTTAGGTCCTTCGAATCACGACCCTCAAAATACGTCACAACGCCTAATATATATCACCACTTAACTACGAGTTAACCCAGTTTCTCGAATTATCACTCGATAATCTTTGTAGTAACTGGTAAAATTGCGTAATTATGCAAAAATTATTATTAATTAGGTTAACAATTTTTAAAAATGTTTTGCATTTAAAGATGCATCTTTATTCTACGATTCCAACGATATAAAAAACTCATTTTTCAATTTTTTTGCAGTTATATGCATTAAATATATCATAATTAATCAGTAAACATTTAATAAATAATAAATTAATGTAAAAATTCTTCATTATCAATTAATAAATAATAATTAAATCGTTAATTAAAAATAAATAATAATTTGTAAATAAGAATGTTAATAAATGATAAATTCTTCTTTAAATTATATCATAATATTTCTTAAAGTTGTAAAAAAAGTATAGTATAGTATTAACCTGATTAATAATTATGGCAACCTGATAAGGAAATTTTAGGGTCCTTATAAGGCTAGATGAAAAAATTTATTAATAAGACAACCTTATAGGGACTTTTCTAACGCCAGTTTTAATTGTAAGCCTGGTTACCGCAGTTTCTACACGGGTTATTGTATAAATTATATTAAAATATTTTTAAAATAAAATTATCAAAATAAAATATAAAAAGTAAGTAGTAAATGCGAATTAAAAAAATTATTGGAGGGAAACAAGGCTCAGGCTATATGGAATGCGTGAAAATCATTCAAGTAGTAACAGCACGTCTAAGTGAGACTCTGCGCATCAATATATAGTGATATTCCATTCACTTGCAATATATAGTCGATAGAAGTATTAAGTTTCTGTACGCATGTGAGAATATTGAACTACTATTGAAATAAAAACTTACATTTATAAGATATTTTTATTATTTATCATTGTAAATAAAGGTTATACGAATAATGCTTACCATTATGAATATAATTGAAACTGTCCAGTGTTTTTATTGTAAGTACAGAAAGAACAATTAGGCTAGACCAGACGACTCCATTCATGCCGCGAGGGAGACTGTCGCGCTTACCAAATACATGGCAAACCTGGGTACTATAATTTATCTTTAAAACCTAGCAGCGCAGACACTCGCGCACCCGCATTCGCTATTACCACTTTAAGAAATTTTTTCTTTTCGTCACTTTACGTTATTACAAACAATTTAAAGCGGAAGTGACACTCTTCGTGCATGAGAGGGGTCTGCAATCGACTATTATCAGGGGCAGCGAAACCGTTTATTTCTTCTTTTCTTGCTCATTTAAAGATTTTAATTAATTAATTATTTTTATCCATTAATGTCCATTTATCTTTGATTAAGAAAGAAGAAATGCGTTATTGCTGTTGCTGTTCTTAAAATTTTTAACTAAAATTCTTCTCCAAATTAATGATTTTTAATAATTTCAAAGAAATTCTTCAAAAATTCAGTTATCTTAAACTATCTTTCAATTAAAAATTTTATGTAATTCAATACTTGTTCCAAATTTAAAAAAATCATCAATTAAAATTACCAAAAATTTCAATTCAATATCACTTGAAATAGAATTATTTTCAAAAATTTTAATTTAGAATCTTACACTGAAAAATTCCGAGAAATTCGACTACCATTTTGTAGTTGACTAGTAGTTAAAATAACTACTTTTTTAATTAATCTATTCATGTTTATGAAGTTAATGTAACTATTTTTAAGAAGTTAATAAGTAATAGTTGATTTTACAAAAATATATAGTTAAAGTACAACTTCATGTCGGTAATAAAATTAACTTTCTTAACGTAGTAAGAACAACTGTAATTGTAGTCAACTCAAAATTTCAAGAGTAGTAAATAACACTACTATTCACCAGTTATATGAAAAGTAGTAAAAGGAATTATTTTCTTTAATTTATATAACTGCTTTTTGAGTAGCAAATTTTTTATTAATTTCTATGATTTCATAGGCATCAATAAAATTCTTGTTGTAGAATTAACAAGTCAATTAGTAGACAAGCGATATATTCCTCGCTCGCTACCGCTCGCTCGGTTGAAGTTATACTTTTTTTCTTTAAGTGTTGTAGTTTATTCATATGTCTATTTATTTTTTGTTTTTGTCACGGTGGTACCTAAAAATTTTAAATTTTGAGTTTTGTTTTATTGTGGTAAAATCTACTTCTTGTAAATTTTAATACAATACTGTGATAATAAAACTCAATTGTCAGCATAATGGAACGGATTCGGGCCTTATTCTTGAAATATCATGTTTGCACATATTATTGTTATTAAAAATGTCTAAAATAAAAAGTCATCACCAATAAAATATTTGCATATATTCTAACATTATTTTTACGGGTATTCATAATGAAATATAACATTGAAAAATGAAAATTATCTCCACATGGTTAATTGAAAATATATGATTTTAGTACTGTAAATATTACAAGCGTGTTGGTGAACATTGGAACTGCGTTCGGTATGTTGCAGCAATGTTCCCAGTTTAAAATTGCAAAAAATTAACAAATGAGAATGTTGCGAGTGCGTTACCGAACATTGCAGCAACGTTCTGAACGCATTGAACGTTGCGGCAATGTTCCCAAAGCAAAATTGTAGAAGTTAGTGAATGGGAATGTTGCGAGTACGTTAACGAACATTGCGGCGGCGCAATAAAAAAATATGGAACGTTCATATAAAAGAGCATCGCGGAAGTCAATTAATGGCAGTACAACTCTCATTCGCGCGTCACCTCTGAAATTTTTCAGAGGCATAAAAACAATTTTGAGACGCCGGGACTAAGCCCGTCCGTAAGTCGGATTTTCAATTTTTGCAATCCACTACATAGATAGTGATTAAAATTGGACGGACGAAAAGTTAAAGTGAATACTTCACGCCGACGAAGTCCAACGGAAGTCGTCTTTAATAAAAATCCAATAATTTGAATAAAATCAAATTATTGAATTTTTGTCTTTTTGACCGGCCAGTCCGCACGTGTGGTGCCTGCGCTGTTTAAATTCGGTGGACCCGTAAGTGCATTCTCGTGCGCTACCACTTGACATTTTCGCGCTTTGATAAGTGTGTGCATTTTTCCGCCCGTCGGATAGAAGCTCGACGCCTCCCCCTCGTTAGCTTGCGACGGTATCATAAGCAGTAGAGTAAGTTTTTAAATATGTATCGTTCCTTCTTACCTTACTGTATTATTTTAAATTTCAAAGTTGAGATTTTTTTTGAAAAAAAAAATTTATTAAAGGGTCTTTATTGTTTTATTGTGTTTTATCCCTTAAATTTATTCACTAATAACGTAACTTGGCAGTTTCTTTTAAAATAGGATACACGATCCCATAAAGTAAACGGAATTTTTTTTTAATTTCGGCAGCTTGGTGCCTCCAGGACATAAAAGATAATAATTTTTATAATTAATATTTTTTGGTTCGTAACAGTTTTAAACTATTATTTCATTATAAATTATAGTAATTCAATTTTTTCAATTTTCAAATTACTTTTTAAAAAAATTTCATTGAATGAACTAAAACAAATTTATTATGTCTGTTGACATAGATTCTGATTTTATTCTACAATATTTATTGTAAATTGTTTCTCTCTTTTTAATTGATACTAAATGCTATGTAAAGAAATGCCTTACCACTTTTCCTAACGAATACCCTACTTTTTAATATTATATGGTATTCAAATTTGTAAATATAAATAATAAGTACTATTAATTAAATATATAATCAAACTGATCTTCGTATTTATCAAAGCCAAAACGAATGTTAAATCATTTTAGCGATCTCCGTAATCAATCATTTGAAAATCTAAACACGTTAGATCTTCGGAAATTGATTAAGTGCATTTGTGTAAGATTGGGAGTACATGAGATTCTTTATTCTTTGGTTTTTAGAAAAATTGTCAAGAATTAAAAATTTAAAATTCAAATTTTATAAACATATTTAAAAAAAATTTATGGTGTTGCTGTTAATAAAAAATTATAATACAATGTAATGAATATAAACATAAAACATCAATTCAAAAAACTAGATTTATTGATTCATTATATCAAAAAAGGTATATCAAATTTTAAATTATTATTGTTAAATAATAATTAAATTCTTAAATCATAACAAAGTGTTATTTATAACAAAGTCATTTACGACGCCATAATTACAGTCATGTATAAAATTATTAAAAAATTTTTCATTTTCCATTTCCATTTTTTAATATTATATAATAAAGGAACTCCAGCAGCATCCCCTCAATATCCCTTGAATATAACCTTGGAATATTCCCATGATTTCCAAAGAAAACCAAAAAAATATATATCTAAGTAATATTGAGGGAATATTCCAGTGATATAGATGAAATATTCCACGGTTATATTAAATTAATTTTTTTTTAGTCTTCCTGATTATTTAAATAACAATTTATAACACAATTCCATGATTTCAACACTTTAAAAAAGTGGTTCATTTCATGACCATTTAGCTTCCTCATCCTGATTAACAGCACTTATATTATTAGATATAAAAAATTAAAAAATTTAATTTTCTGTGAAAAATAATGCCAGCAATTCAATTTTGACAAGAATCAATTAAAATTTCTACATAGAAAAAAGTTATTTAAAAAAATACAAAAACCGAATATGTTAAAGATTCAAAAAAATAATTTAATTTGAAGACTTTAGTATAATATGAACTTCATATACACTGTAAAAAATTTCGGAATATTTTCCAATAAAATAGTAGGATATTTTTCCGAAAGTAGGTGGAAAATACGGTTTTCCGAATTTTTAATAGGAAATATATCCGAAAAAGGGAGGAATAATACTAATTCCACAGAAAAACGGAAATTTATCTAGAATATTTGGAAAAATTTCCGAAAATGATGGATTTTTTTCCAATGTAAGTAGGAAGTACTTCCGATAAAATTGGGAAAAATGCTTTTTCCAGATAAGACTGGAAATTATTTATCACCATATGGAAAAATTTCCGAAAATGATGGATTTTTTTCCAATGTAAGTGGGCAATATTTCCAAAGAAAGTAGGAAAAAGCATTTTTCTCAATTTTATCGGAAGTACTTCCTAGTTACATTGGAAAAAAATCCATCATTTTCGGAAATTTTTCCATACAGTGATAAATAATTTCCAGTCTTATGGAAAAAGCATTTTTCCTACTTTCTTTGGAAATATTGCCCACTTACATTGGAAAAAAATCCATCATTTTCGGAAATTTTTCCATATGGTGATAAATAATTTCCAGTCTTATCTGGAAAAAGCATTTTTCCCAATTTTATCGGAAGTACTTCCTACTTACATTGGAAAAAAATCCATCTTTTTCGGAAATTTTTCCATACAGCTTATGGAAAAAGCATTTTTCCACATAAGACTGGAAAATAATTATCACCATATGGAAAAATTTCTGAAAATGATGGATTTTTTTCGAATTTAAGTAGGAAGTACTTCCGATAAAATTGGAAATAATGCTTTTTCTACATAAGACTGGAATTTATTTATCACTATGTGGAGAAATTTCCGAAAATGTTGGATTTTTTTCCAATGTAAGTAGGAAGTACTTCCGATAAAATTGGGAAAAATGCTTTTCCACATAAAATGTGAAATTATTTCTATTCTTTATATTTTTTAAGTGTTAAAAATATTCTGGAAAAGGAGGAAACATTATTTTTCTGCTGCACAAAAAATTATTTTTCAGCTTTGCGAAGTAATTCCGAAAATAATGTTTCAATATTTATCGGAAATATTTCCAAAGAAAGGCAAAAAAATGTTTTTTGGATTGCAAATTGTAAATTTTTTTTCTCTTTGTAAATTTACTTATTTCACTATGATTTGTATAGATTTGTTTTATTGTATGACCATAAATAACCATTGCAAAAAATATAAGTTTCGAAAAAGATTTCTTGTATGTACCTATCATAAAATTTTATTGCTAAAAAAACATACGATGGTTGAAAGATTCTTTTTCGATTTGAAAGGTTTGTCACATCTGGTTTGTCTTAGGACGACCAGCTACAAGGGTTTCTTATTACCAGAAAGCCTATTTTATGAGTTTTTCGGGTTTCGTTTTTTT